GCAGTCGTTTATCTTGTCAGTGACCCAGGGCGAGGCGATGGATCCAGAAAGTAACACAATTTAGAGCTTTAAGCATCAAACAGGTTCATCAGAAATGTCGTTGGATGAAATGAATGTATACTGTTTGACCTCTAGAGGGCAGTGCTTCTTTGTTTTTAGTGCACAATGAAAAGGTGACCAGACTGTAGAAAGGTTTGGAAAAATACATCAGATAGCAGTAAAATTGCTCTTCCATCCATTTTCAACCCCTTAATCAGGTGGAAGGTTTGTAAAGGTTTGTGAAGGCACCTTTATCTTACTGCCAAAGCATACTTTAGAGTGGGACATTTGCATTGTATTTACTGTTAATTTGGTTGAGACAGTACATGGAAATTATCTCTGGGCATTGGGCTAATCTGTGTCCCATAATCGCACTTTCGCCCTGAATTTGATATTATTATTTTGATCCTGGTCCTGGTCGGGGAAACCCCTTTGGATTAGAAACTCCCAAGAGGCTAGAATCCCAATTAGAAGGTGGAGTAGAGCAGCATGCTCCTGAGGGCCTGTTACTTTCCCTGACAAACAACTGTCCTCCCTGACAACAGCAGCAGCAGCGGCAGCAGCAGCAGCAGAGGACCAGGCTGTGACTGCTGCTGTCCTCTAACCCGCTGCTTTCATCACAGCCGAGACACAGAGCAGACACTGCTGGATCAAAGCAGAACTAATGACAGAGACAGGACTGCTTCCTCTCATTCAACTGTGAACACATGAGTCATCTAAAATTCTACTATTCTACTGAAATCGTTCACATCTTTTGTTTGGGGTCAATAAACATTTTATAATTGTTAGTTTTATATAATAATAATAATAATAATGCATTGGTTTTATATAGCACTCTCCTGGACCCTCACATGTCATACTTTCACTCTATACAAAGACAACTACTGTAGCCACAGTTGCCCTGGGGCACACTGACAAGCAAGACTCATTCTAATGTGGCTGTCTTGCCTAAGGACACGACAGTTTGGTTCTCCAGGTGCACCTGGACTGTGGCACCTGGAGTTCCCAGAGGTCTCCCATTACAGAACTAACCAGGCCCTACCCTGCTGAGTCTCAGAGGACTGACAGGATCTGGCTTTGACAGGGCAGTATTTCTACAGTCCTGTGAACAGGGGCATCGAGCCTCTGATCTGTATTGGAGGCAGTTGTCTTCTGTGCTGTTAAGTAACACGAGTGACACACACAATGAACACACAATATTTCTGATGTATTATTGACTTCATTATTGAGATTTCTTTTGTCAGTAAATGTAAATGCATCTTATTTCTCTCTGTCCATAGATTGTCCTTCATGTAAAGTGCAGTTAATACTGAACCTCCATGTTCCAGATACACAGCTCTACAGAGCAGAGGACAGAGTACTTATTCAGTCAACTATTGGCTATTGTTTACAGGTTTCACATTTCATTTCATAGAAAGAAAATCCATAATATGTTCCCATAAATGTATGGTTCAGGCCACTGAGGCAGACACAACAGTAAGAAGAGTGGGGTGAACAACCATCCAGCGTCCTCGAACACACATGCATACAGATTGCATATTGATCATTGCTTTATCTTTCTATGAATAGTCTCTTTTTATGTAACGTTAACAATGAAGTGCTCATAACATGACCTTAAAACAAAGCATAGGTGTCATAAATCAACAGAAAGAGTGTCCAACTTTGTCATTCTGCATAGATTACTCAGTGTCTTCACCTCTGGGCACCGTTCAAATGTGTCTGGGCAAGACAAGAAACGCTCAAATTGGGCAAAATGTATCTTAATTTGTGCACATTCTGACTGCCTTCAAACAAGATTTGCCAACGGGACAAAGCAAAATGAAGAAAGAAGAAATGTCTCTGTGATGTCATGATGTGGACTTTTTGATGACTTTTACATGGTTTTATTTTTTATATTGTTTCTTGTCAGTGCATGTCTGTTAGGTCATTGCCTGTTCTGCCCTCATGTGTGTCCCTGTGTGTATCAAAACCCTTGTTGTTGGTCCATTGTGTTTTTGTCCCTGTTTTGGCATGGTTTCAGTTTGGAGGTCTGTTTTATCCCAGATTTTGTTATTTTATTTGTTTTGTTTATCAAATCCTTTTGGCAGTCTTGGATTTTGGGTCCTTCCTCTGTTCTCACCATTTAACAGTTTATCTTGGAATGAGAAAATAAAACAACAGTTCTTGAAAAAAGACTAAATGGCTTCATCTCATTGGCCAATCTTGTTTTAAGACAGTCAGAATGCACTCAAACAAAGAAAACCACTTGATTCAAGTAATTATTTCCTCATATTTGCAGTATTATTTTGCTGTAAAGCAGACCACAATATGATTTAACAGCAGAAGGAAAAGTAAAGTTGTTGCTACACTGACATTTGCTTGAGGTAAGGTCAAAATAGAACAAATAAAAACTAAAAAAGAGAAATGATCTGTGTCAGCATAAGTTGTCAAGAGCTGACAAGCAGAACTATGCAGCTCCAACCAGATATGACAAAGTTACTGTGAAAGTCATTCACATTCGAGTAATTTTTTTTTAACCCAAAGTACAAGTGGCTTAATGTGGAACAATCATTGTCACACAAGTATGTTTATAAGAAATAAAAGACATACATATGGAACAACAATATAAACACTGTGCTTTTGTTTTTGCTCTTGATTTTCATAGGTTTTAGGTTTATCAAATATGTCTAAATCTTTTTCTGTAACTGATTGAAATGAAGCAGCAGGTTCTCACCGTGTCGGCTTTCTTTTTCACCGGGTTTCCCCTACCACAAAAATCATATATTAGTTTAGGGTCAGAGTTTGTGATTGTGGGACAACAGATGCAAATGAGCCCAAGGCCATAATCTGAAGAGATGTGTTCATAAACATGAACTGTCCACACCAAATAAACAATGAAAATAAAGACGGTGGTGGGACATCCTTGGTCTCACGCAATACTTGGTCTGATGGGACTGGATTGAGCAGGTGTGGGAGCCTCTGGATTGCCGCACACAACAGCGCGTTCCAGTTCCTGCAAATATTCAATTCAATTTAGAATTAATTTTTAATTTATTTATTGTTTATTTGGTTGGGACATAACATGTTAATGAACACATCACTCCGGATTGTAGCCATGGGCTAATTTCCATCCATTGTCGCACTCACAAACACACACTCATTCCCCCTGAATTAATGCACGTTTTTAGTGGTAGGGCAAACAGGAGTACCCGGAGGAAACCTACCCAGACACGGGGAGAACATGCAAACTCCCCCCAGAAAGGCCCTGTTCCGACCTGGATTCGAACCCAGAACCTTCTTGTTGAGAGGCGAGAGTGCTATCCACTCCGTGCCGCTATTATACATATAAATATATGTATAATATATATAATATATTTTTAGGTTGAACCCGATGAAAATGAGAGCAAAAACATAAGCGTTGTCTTTATATCTTGTACACACGCACGCACACACATAATGGAATTTTACATTTGTAACGCTCCAAATAAAATTGTGTTTTACTTTTTATACAGGTAAAAATGTAAAAGTCTCGACATGAGTGATCTAGGAATAAAAAGTGTTTGCACTGAGCATGTCTTAACAACAGTATTAAAATGTGTTAATAAACCTTATATTGTGTTCAATGGAAGTGATATATATATGTGTGTGTATACATATATGTGTGTATATATATATATGTATATATATATATATATATATATATATATATATATATATATATATATATATATATATATATATATATATATATATATATATATATATATATATATATTATATTATAATATATTTTATATTGATCTATATATGTCTTATTTGTATCTTATGTCTAGTCTATCAATAGTATACGCAAATAAAAAATAAGCATTTTTTCAGTTACAACTTTTGTGTCAGAAGCTTCTTATTGTGTTTAAACGCATGCTTCTAGGAATGTATTTGAGTTCATGCAAAGTTAGAGATAGAGTCCAGATGGAGTCTATAGTTATAGTACAGATGATGAAGATCTGTGCCGACGTGTGGAAGGCAGGAGTGCACAGTCTTCCTCTAAGTGACTATCTTTATAACACTTTTCTTATATATTGGAATGACGTCTACGTGGAATGTTTACTGAATTGGACACATACACTGCATCAGGTGGTTTTAGTTGAACATACAGAAACTGCTGTCACTGTGTGTTGAAGGCAGTGTTGAGACAAACACACATTTGTGATGATGCTAATGGCAGTCGAGAGACGAGTGAGAGTCTCAGATAAACATCATGCAAATCTACATCTGACTTCATTATTCACGGCAGTGATCTACAGTCACTTTGTGTAAATCACATTTTGTTCTAAGTTTAACAGTGAAAAAACAAAATATAAAAACAAACATTCAAGGTGTCCTCAAAGCTCTGCTATAAGACCAGTTTGGTGAATGAAGGAGACACTTGCATTGCAATAACTATAGTACACAAACAGTGGACAGTCAAGGCCATTCTCGTTCATCAGATACTGATGTTTACCAGAAGAAAAGGTGTCGAACCATGAGCTGAGAGCTGACGGCTTTCATTCATCCTTCATTTAAAATGGGCACACAACCATTAATGTTCTAATATCCTTCACATGGACGTGGTTTGGTAACATTGGCTTCAGGAAACAGCAGAAAGTTCATACAGACAAAGTGCTCTTCAGAAAGCGCCAACAAGTCAAGTGTCGCAGGAAAACACAGAGTTGATCCTTTGTGGATACTATTTCTAATTATTATTTGTGATTTTGTCTGTTCTTTTGTGAAGATAAAGGTCAAACGCCAACGTCATGCAAAAATGAAGTTTGAGATATGGGGTGAATTAAGGTAATGTGCACATGGTCTTTGAAAAGTCTTATTGCTGTCAATCATAACTGAGTCCCGCCTCTATTGCCTTGAATACTTGAAGCTGGGGCAGGAGAACCCTCTCATCTCCAGCTGAGTCACTTAAACGTCTCCTTCTTAAAACAAAGGATCGGTTATACATCTGTGAGCATCTTGGTGATGTTGACATAGTTTGTATTGGCCAAAGTACAGTTGGTAGTCTTCAGGTTTTCCTCCTGAAAGTCCTCATTACTGTTGTTGACCGCCTCCTGGATCTCCATATAGTCTGACTTACTGATGATGGAGCCACTTCTGCTCTTCTTCAGCTCCTCGATGGAGTCTGTTTTGGGAACGTTAACTTGTAGGAACTGGGCTTGTTCTTCTCCTTCTGTCTCACGATGGTAGAAGTAATTAAAGTTTGACACAATGACAGGAACGGGCAAAGCGATGGTCAGCACACCAGCGATCGCACAGAGGGAACCTACAATCTTGCCTCCGATTGTAGTTGGGACCATGTCACCATAACCAACTGTTGTCATGGACACCACAGCCCACCAAAATGCATCTGGGATACTTTCAAACTGTGATTCTGGTTCATCTGCCTCTGCAAAGAACACCGCACTGGAGAAGAGGATAACCCCAATGAAGAGGAAGAAAATAAGAAGGCCAAGTTCCCTCATGCTAGCTTTGAGGGTCTGACCCAGGATTTGGAGTCCTTTGGAATGGCGAGAAAGCTTAAAAATTCGGAAAACACGCACCAAACGAATGACCCTGAGAATGGCTAAGGACATGGCTTGCTGACCTGGCTGGCCATCCTCTGGTGTGTCTGCTAACTCTGTGCCGAGAGTGATGAAATAAGGGATGATTGCAACTATGTCAATAATGTTCATCAAGTTCCCAAAGAATCCTGCTTTACTGGGGCAAGCGAAAAAGCGGACTAAAAACTCAAAGGAGAACCATATAATGCACAATGTTTCTAGAACAAAGAATGGGTCTGTAAAGTAGGTGGATGTGTAGCTGATCACTGTTGTGTTGGTCTCAGGTGAAAAAACTTCAGAATGAGTTTTGTGCATTTCACCTTCATCATTCCGGAAAATAGGAAGAGTTTCCAAACAGAAACTAACAATTGATATTAAAATGACCATGACAGAGATTATGGCAATTATCCTGGCAGGACCTGAGCTCTCTGGATACTCAAACAGCAGCCAAACCTGTCTCTGAAATTCATTATCAGGAAGAGGTCGCTCCTCCTCTTTTATGAAACCTTCATCTTCTCTGAACATCTCAATGGCTTCCTCACCCAGCTCGTAAAAACGAATCTCCTCAGAGAAAATATCAAGGGTGACATTGACGGGACGACGGAGCCGGCCTCCTGATTGGTAGTAATACAATATAGCGTCAAAGCTTGGTCTGTTCCTGTCAAAGAAGTACTCGTTCCGTAGAGGATCAAAATAGCGCATTCTCTTTTTGGGGTCTCCCAACAGGGTTTCTGGGAACTGGGACAGGGTCTTCAGTTGTGTCTCGAATCGCAGTCCGGATATGTTGATGACCACTCTTTCACAACAGTCGTGGTCGTCCTCAGGATCATAGTCCTGGGGTTGACCCGGGTGAGCAGCCGCCTCGTCCGAGGGCTCGGCTGTGGCCACAGTCATTCTGCAGGGAGTCGAGGCCTGCAGCGTTCAGAGAGTCTGGGTCCTGCAGCCTGGACCACTGCAGACTCAGACCCGGAGGAAAGGGAGGGGGCTCAGCGTAAAGTCCCGACGACCACAGGATGAGACCTAGGATTGGGCTGCTTTTAAAACACACAAAAATTCACAGTCAACACAGGAGTAGAGCAAACAACTCAAACACTCAAGAAAATACATATCTAACTGTGTTACTTTTCATTAGGGGTCAACCCTAAAGTGGTTATCATTTAGCTTTCTTTTAGCAAATCCTGAATCAAACTCCTAACCAATGATGACTAAATAAATGCTTACATTTAAGGGTTTGATTCTCAATATGATAATCCAATCAGAAAGCAGAATGCCCCTCACAGAGCTCTCTCATTGGGGTTAAAATCCAGGTGGTTTAGTTACTACGTGAATCCCCGCACTAGCAGTATATGATTAATCATCACAGAACATTGTGCCCTATATCTGCAGGTGGGATCCCTGGCAACACATTTATCACTACTAGGTAAAAGTGCTGGGTACACATAGTCCAGGGCTCTCGATTGAACATTTATTTTTGCAGATCTGTGGCCCCTGACTGATTGTTAAGTACAAGCAGAAGAATTAAGAGTCCAATTATATGAGACAATATGTAAGACACATCTTATAACAAGAACATGATTGATGGTTGAGGGGAAATCACCCAAAATTAGGAGCACAAAGGAGAAGCCTTTGGGGCATCTTTTACAACTCACTATAACAAATACTGTAGGTGTGATCCTTGATATTAAGAATCATCAGTGATCTGTCATTATATCAAGACCAATAGATAATCCAGGCACTAACCAACACAGTCTGAGCCGTTCAGAAGTCTTTAGGCCTTTAACACATGTTTACAGCAGTCCTCATCAGGACTTTCATCAGAAACCCTTTTAATCGTTCCTGTCTAATTAATATGCAAGTGAGCAATCTATCTGCATAAAAAAAATCTATGCAGATATAGTAAAGCAACACCAATTTGAAATACTAATCTCATATTATTGAAATGATTGGAGAAATAAACCAGCTGCTTCACAGACTGCATCTTGAATGTAATAACAAACAGAAAAGTCATATGCTGTGAGGTTAAATGCAGAACGAAACATGAAATGCTTCCGAATGCATGACTTCAACTCGAGCTTTGTGATTTTTTTGTCTTGAAATGGTGCCTGAATCTAAAATATTCAGAAACACATATAAATAATTGATCCAAAGAAGGAAATAGGTTCCAAGAGAAAAGCTGCAACCCTGCATTCACTCTGGTAGAATGCAGAACCATAACCATAAATGTAATTACATGCCTTTCTTAAAAACCCCTTGCAGTAATGGGACACTGTCAATGTCTATTAACTGCATGAACAACAGACGTCACTTCATTAAAACATTGCAATGTTATTTTGAACATACCTACAGTTCTTTTGCGGACAGCCAGTGGTGATACGCAGCTAACCGAGGGCAGATGCCACACTGGAAGAACCGTCTTTTTGGCTCAAAGCAGAAAAACAATGTCCAGTTGAGAATAGTGGATGTTCTTCAGCTCATGCGGTCTGCAGCATCTTGGCGTAGACGCCGGGCAGGCTCCCGTGTGTGCAGGTCCCGTGTGTGTTGGTACAGTGTGTGCGGGTGTGTCCTGGTCCCCTCCCTGTCTCCAGGACGCTGCTGTGGGATGCTGTCGGTGATGGAGCGGGAGGAGGACTGTGACGCGGACACGCTGCTGGTGCCTCACCTAACGACATGAACATGAGCTGAGATCAGCAAAGAGTTGCGACACCTTTGTTCACTTCACGGCTCAGCGGCACCTGCGACGCTCTCAATCACGCTCCTGTTGTTCACTGGAAACAACGTCCGTTTTTTAACGTCAGGACGAACATCTTCCACTCTGCACTATTCCATCTATAGCGTGTCCCACATGAGGCAGACGTCCGAACATTGTAGTCTATGGTCCAAACCACAGACGGCTGACTTGGAGCTACACGCGTGAAAGCATTGGCCATAACGCACTGGGCTCGAAGATTATGCAATTTCACTGAGCCACAGCCCCACGCACACGTCCCAACAAACACATGGCATCACACGGTCTGCACTTCTGGATCCGTGATGTAGCTGTATGCAGATCCAGAGACACAGACACAAACAGAGAGACAGAGACAAATGCAGAGACAGAGACATATACTGAGACAGAGGCAGATGTAGAGGCAGAGACAGAGGCAAACGCAGAGACAGAGGCAGAAAGGGGGCAGACTGTGGGCGCATGCTGCCTGCAGTCGGGCATAGCCGTGCATACCAAAAAGGAAGACCTATAGACTGCAGGATACATCACACGAAACATCCAAGAAAGTTCAATTAATGAATCAACTTTCATTTGTAGAGCACCTTTCCCACACAAGGCAACACAAAGCGGAATACATAATAAACATTAAAATCGACTTAAACATTAAAAACATACAAATTCAAATACAATTAAAAACCCACTCGGCATTATATCAAACAATAAGATCATAAATAGTCACAGAGTCTTAAAAAAAGAGTATGCACAGCTAAAAAGAACTGTTTTAACCTAAAAAAAAAATGTGTAAAATGACCTTGACTACAATAACTGAATGCCAAAAGGATTACGCTATTTTAATTTTAATTTCAGAAGTCTGCTGCTTGCTCACATACACTTACAGTATAAGAGAACACATCACCCCTGTGCTGGCCTAATCTCACTGGCTCTCTGTGCTTTAAAGATGAAATAAAACTGACAATGACATTGACAAGAAACTATTTGGTATTGTACAAAAACAAAACAAATGTTGTTTGTTCCTTTCCCAAATTTCTGAATGTATCTTATCCAAGGTGATTTAATGTGTAATGTTCCCGAGCACAGGGGACATACATAATAGATGAGAAAGTGACCAAAATAGAGCTAAGCCTCCACAATGCAGCTTTGCTTTCTTCACAACAAAACACCAATCAATAGGCCATCCGTCTCCATCTGTGACCAATAAACCAATGCTATTCGAGCTGGAAACCTAAATATAGAGGTATAGTGACCAAGGCTGACCTCTGGAAAGATCACAGGTCTCAGGGATTCCCTTTGTTGTCCGAGAGGAGAGGAAATAGATAGAGATGGAGCTGGGGATGGTCTCTCCTGCCAAGGTTACGGTGCAAGGCTTCAGGGCCAACTCGCTGCCTCACTTACCCACTGCTCTGTCTCTTAATGGATTTTCCGGGTACCTCGCGACAGCAGAGGTATTATTTATGAGTCGCTCTTTCTGTTGCATGAAAAACGCCTCATTTACTTTGCATTTGCTCGCTCCTTTTTATTAAGAGCACAAACACTTCTGTTGCATGGCAGACATGTGCACAGTGCTTTGAGAGGTGAGGGAGGTGAGTTGAGTCTGTTGCGAGTCCTGGCAGTGTGAATTTACTGGAAGATTTTCTCAATACAATTTAATTCTATGTATTTTTGCATATTCCTAAATCACAACATGAGGTAGGAGGACTTTACAAAACCGTTGATTCACCATCACAGACCATAGAATCAATCTGTTAAAACAGAAGAAATGCAATGATTAAAAACACATAGAGCCTTTGGTCCATAAGGGACAGGTGAAACTTTCCCAAAATCTCAAAATATTGCAAGGCAAATTGGACGTCTCTGAGGGGGTGACATTAAATCATAAGATACAGTACTAAAAAAAGACACTTTTAAAAGTGTGCTGAAACGAGAACAGGGATGAGAAGTTCCTGGCTCTCTAATCCATGTCAAGTTTATACAAACAAATTCTGTTAGTGATTTTTAAGTTGTATTGTGCCATAATTTGTAACTGTATAGAACAATGATATCTGGACTTGACTTGGTTTTGTGTGTCCATATTAAGTTCTGACTAACAAAATATGGAATTTAACAGCATATTGAGCTATGGGACCTTGGCTAAGTGTGAGCAGTCACTCAAAGCCGGTGTTGTCAGCAGTGTCATTGAGGGGAGCGGGACATAGAACAGATGAGACCTACTTCACATGAGTTCTAATGTTATGGTTCACAGTGTTTATTAATCAGACTTGATTATCTTCTGTTATCAGATAAGGACCAACTCTGAATACATTTTCTATAATATGTGTCTGGATTATCCCCATGTGCTAAGTTTTGTCTATATGACACAACGAACAGGTGTACATGTTAAATGACTTCATTCCAGCAGAGGGAAAGTAGCACATGTTGTCCCTGATGTGCCATGGTCCCTTAAGAATGCATTTTTTCTTACGCTGCATTGCAGCAAACACAGATTGCGAACTGTAGGCATGACAAATATAGAGACGCAAAACATTATTTTACTTCTGTACAGTGACCTCAAATTTAGAACTTTGCTAACTAGTTCATACAGCTCCAGCAGTAAGACAATAATACAGTACAGAAAACCGCTCACCTTGATCTATTTTTAAACCTTTTCACAGGATTCTAAAATTCTTTGAGTCACCTCATCATCACTGCTCTTAGGAGCTGCTTGTAAAAAACACATGCAGTAAAAGCATTTTTTTATCAAACTGCTTCTATTTACCTCATGGAAGATTAAACATTTAAAAAATAAATACATCCTTTAATCTTAAATCAAAACACTTCCGTTAGTCTATATGTACCTGTGTCTCTGTGTGTCTATATGTACCTGTGTCTCTCTGTGTCTATATGTACCTGTGTCTATATGTACCTTTGTCTCTCTGTGTCTGTATGTACCTGTGTCTATATGTACCTGTATCTCTCTGTGTCTATATGTACCTGTGTCTCTCTGTGTCTATATGTACCTGTGTCTGTATGTACCTGTGTCTCTCTGTGTGTCTATATGTACCTGTGTCTCTCTGTGTCTATATGTACCTGTGTCTCTCTGTGTCTGTATGTACCTGTGTCTCTCTGTGTCTATATGTACCTGTGTCTCTCTGTGTGTCTATATGTACCTTTGTCTCTCTGTGTCTGTATGTACCTGTATCTCTCTGTGTCTATATGTACCTGTGTCTCTCTGTGTCTATATGTACCTGTGTCTGTATGTACCTGTGTCTCTCTGTGTGTCTATATGTACCTGTGTCTCTCTGTGTCTATATGTACCTGTGTCTCTCTGTGTCTGTATGTACCTGTGTCTCTCTGTGTCTGTATGTACCTGTGTCTCTCTGTGTCTATATGTACCTGTGTCTCTCTGTGTGTCTATATGTACCTGTGTCTCTCTGTGTCTATATGTACCTGTGCTCGTCCCCATTTGTTGCTGGTCGATTGTCTTTGTCTCTTTTCCTGGTTCCTGAGTTTAGTTTATATTATATATAATGTTATATGTATATTTGTATTATATGTTTGTTTTCACCCTAAACTTCTATTTATTTCCTTCATTAAATACTTCCTCCTTTTTGAGTCCTCCTCCAAATGTGACAGGAACTGGTGATGGAAAAAGTACAAAACTAAATTCAAAAAGTCTATATCGTTTTTTGTATACTAATCCTTGCTCTATGGGAATTTGTTTTCATCTTCCCACTCTCCTTCAGGCATTTTTTTTGTTGGGTATGTTTTTTACACTATTGACAACTATTTTGCTCTTGTGTTTGCCTTAGATAAAAAAAATGAAAAAATGAAAAAAAAAGTAATACGTTTCAACAAAAAGTAAAAATAAAAACCTGTTAAGATTTTCGTGCACTGGTCCCAGGTACAATTTTTCTGCATACTTCTTCTGAGGAGGCGTGGGGGGTGCTTTCTTTGTGCGGGGGAGAACGGCGAGTCGTGATCCACAGACTGAACCCCAGAGACGAGTCTCCACAGAACAGACGGATGAATGGCAGCCAGAATCAGAATCTGAATCATTGTTATTGCCATGTAAGTAACAGGAAATCACAGACTAGACAGAACGTCGATAAGTCACAGAGCGTCTATATTTAGATGTTCAATGATAGACCTTTAAACCTGAAGGTTGTGGGTTCAACTTTGCCTGCCCCCCCTGCTCAGATCATGGCTATGCTCTCACAGACAGAGCAGCCGTCCAACTGTGGACTAACCACCTGCAGGAGGATCAGTGAGAGGCTGGTGCTCTGTGAATAAGGAACAGCTCTGACTGCCATCCCCGACCCAGAAATGATTTAAAGGGAAGAAGATGAATGGATGGATAGAATATACATTACTTTTTTTTCTTTATTACGCTAAAGTTAGAGATTTTATTCTATTTTAGTATAGAGTTATTGATCATGTATCTTCATTCCTACTGTTCTGTCACTGGTGATGCAACACTGACATTTCTCACTGTGGTATGAAGAAAGGATCTCTCTCTCTAACCATCACCTATGAAAATACTTTGCAATTGCAGCAATAGTCTGGGGTTTAACTGTGCATCTGGGTTGTGACCAATCAATACATAAAATATTGTGTATTTTGACCTAATTTTCCTGCCACTGACGCACTCCCACACTTCGAAACCGACTGAAAACACATTTATTCACTGTGACCCTGTTGTGTCCATTTTACCTGTATTTTTTATTTTTTTGTACTGAATTTGCTTTAGTGTTTTTGCTTTAAAGTGTTTTTGCTTTTAACTGCTTTTGCTTTAACTTTGTAACTTTTCTAAGATAACCTTGAGTGCCGAGAAAGACACCATATGAATAAAATGTATTATTATTGTTATCATTATTATACAGATTACAAATGGAACCAAGCAGGGTTCTAGATCTGCTTTTATCCATGGTATATTTTGAAGAATTTATCAATGAATTTGGGCATTCATTCCGGTATTAGTATTAGATAGCAATATGGCCTACCTGTACGTGCAGGACTCTACAAGGACTCTACAAGGACTCCATGTTATGACTATGATGTGACTGTCTCTTTGTGACACGTATGTCTTTCGATGTGTGACGTGACAATGACTATATAAACTGTGTACTGCCTTTATTCTGTCTGAGAGAAAGAAACAGAGTAAACCAGTGGAACTTGAGAGAAACTTAAATAAACTTCCAGAGTTTGGCACACCACGATCCGTTTTTGTCTGCTAAATCCTAACACCGTCTGTGGTCTCATGTAAACCTCTATTTGTTTGTGATAAAAATAATACAGATTTTCAATTTCAGGCACAAGCTGCATTCTATGATTCTTCCCGATCCCTGAATAAGGATTAGGAAACGAGAACAAGGAGCTGGATGCTGTGTCCTTAATAGTCTATACTCTGTGATTAATGACATGGGGATCACAGCCATGTTGTGCGTTACAAGCTATAAATACATTGGACTTTTGTTCCACCTGGAAACACGACCAGTCAGCAGGTTTTACACAGAACATCTGGGCTTCCGGAGTTCGATATCGAGGAGATTTCACCTTCACTTCACCTACTACTTCAGGTCATAAAGAGCAGGTCTCGAACAATAAACTTGTATTTTTGCCTGTTTTGTATAGTCTCGCTATGGTCTCTCTCTCTCTCTGCAGTCTATCTCTCTGGTCTCGGTATATGGTCTCTTTATCCTCTATCTGGTCTCGCTATTTCTCTCTGCGGTCTCCCTCTGTTCTCTCGCTTTTGTCTTCCTCTCTGCGGTCTCTCTCTCAATGAAAAGAGTGCTATTGTTTTGAAATATATTTAAGTTTTTTAAAGTCCTGGGGCATGATCCATTCTTTCATCTTCCTTACGTACTTTATTTTGGTTGTAATTGTTTGGATCACTGCTAAACTTCTAATAAAGTGATTTCAAAACGGTTGGGGAAGGGGGCAACCTTTTTACACAAATCAAACAACTTAAAGTAATTCTGAGTTCCAGCGTTCCATTTCGGACCATAAATAATGCGCCATATATTTAGCACATGTGCAGATGCATTGTGAGTAGCAGAAAGGCAGGGATGTTATAGGCCAGTTGCCACGGCAACTCAGATAAAAGAGCAGCTGTTTCAGGACAACAGTGGGAGCATCAAGCGATTTACGTCTATGTAAAACTACACAAAGACTTTCTCCTTTAAACCGGAGGTCACTGCCCGTGGACTTCATAGACAAGTCGCAGAGTAGTTCAGTAAACGCGGAAAATAGACTTTATAGTGTTGCTCTTTTCAGGCCGCAAAGAGGTGATAATGAACGTCTTGCAAAATCTTTGTGGAAAAAAAAATACACGGCACGACCATAGCAACATTGGAGGGGGTTACCTGGGAAACTAGTGTTGTCATGGCGACTGCATCGCAGGGTGGTACATGGCACGTGCTCGCCCTTGTTATGCACATGACCTAAAACAAAACGCCCCGATTTCTATTGCTTATAGAATTTATTGTGTATATATATATATATATATATATATATAGGCTATGAGGCATATCTGAATAAAAATACAATTTACAAAAAAGATCCATTCATGATTCATTTCCATATACAGTATAGAGCACTGTGGCTACCTGAAGAATATAGAACAAGACAACAGGTTATGATAAATATAACCCACAAAGGTCAAAGGCTTTACAATATCACAGTCTATTATTAAGGACACTGACACGCGACACTTGGAACTCGCCTTCCCACGAAGCACAAGACATTTGTGATTGGCAGTTAGATGCAATAGTATAGAGTATATCATAGGCTACAAGAGTATCCAACCACACACATCGACAATGTCCGCAGTAACGACAAGATATGTAGGCAAAATGTGGACATACATGCTGCAAAAATATGTCCTTAACAAGCCACTTATTCAGAGGTATAATTATGATTCATACTTACTGTATTCATGGGATTTTATTTGTCTGTTTCAAATCCTAACTCAGAGATTTTATACTTAATTCTTGCTTCTTCTTCTTCTAAAGTTGGAGATGTGTGTTTGACTTCCTTATTATGTTTAAGCAGGAGATTTTATACTTGCTTATTTTTTATGCTTAAAGTTATAGATTTGATTGTTTATTTTAGTATAGAGTAACTGTTCCATTATCTTGTGCTGTGTGCTCCTCATTCCTACTGTTCTGCAACCGGTGATGCAACACTGAAATTTCCCCACTGTGGCTCAAATGTAGGATCTTTCAATCTTAATCCAGTTATTTTACTGTTGTGCCATCCCATGCTTTGCTGCCAACACAGCCCGGACAATCATAATCATAACTATGCTACTATTCAAATATTTGTGTGTCACTGTCTCCATCTGTTGGTGAAGAGAGGAACAGACCAGTCATAATCATGCACGCGCGTCACATTGGCATGGCAGGGTGTCAAGAGACTGTCAATAAACTTCTTTGTAAGTAAGTAAGTAAGTAAGTAAGTTTTTATTTATATACCGCCTTTTCACTGCAGATCTGAGTCTCAAAGCGGTTTACAATTGTTAATTTTGGGCACTTGTCTCTCACTCCACACAGAGATGGGAGCAGGGTCGCCAGTACAGGAAGCGCATGCCAGAACTATTGGACATATTTTTAGTGGTAGGGGAAACCGGAGTACCCGGAGGAAACCTACGCAGACACGGGGAGAACATGCAAACTCCACTCAGAAAGGCCCTGGTCCGGCCGGGATTCGAACCCAGGACCTTCTTGCTGAGAGGCGAGAGTGCTATCCACTCAGCCACCGTGCCCCTTTGACCATGAAGAATAAATATAGCCTTTGTTTATCAATACTCTCACAATATTAGTACTATTCTGGGCTGCAGATGACTCCAGGCCAGGATATAATATTAATACTTACTTAAATAAATACATAAATGCGTAAATGATGATAATAATAATAAAAAGAAGACTGCTGTTGTTTCTTTTGATTGGTTCTGGAGAAACTTGACTTGTTTAAAGCACATTTAGGCAGGTGCATCCACAGATATGGACCACACATCATTATTCACTGCAAAAAGTGATGAAGAAGTCAAAAATTGTTAGAAATTCTGCAAAATGTATCTCAATTTGAGCACTTTCTGTCTATCTTAAAACAGGATTGGCCAATGGGACAAAGCAAAATGATCGTATTTTGAAAAGATACAAGAAATGTCACCCTTGGAATGAAAGAAATAAAGCAAACAAAATAAGACTAAATAGCTTTGTCCCATTAGCACATGTTGTATTAAAACAGTCAGAATGTTCTCGGATATAAAGCCACTCGATTCAAGCAATTATTACCTCATCTTTTATCATTTTTTAGCAGTGTTGAACATTGATCCATATATGTTACACGTCTGTGAATATCTTCTTGATATTGACACAGTTCTGCGTGTTCTCTGTGGTGAAGTTGGGCTGTGTGAACGCGCCTTCTTCGATCACCATATAGTCCGATTTACCGAGCGAAGAGGAGCTATACGACCCCTTCAGCTCCTCTGGGGGGAGGTGGTCGCAGCTGGTCGTGTGCTTGTAGACTGGCTGCTCCTCACCGTCCGTCTCCCGGTGGTAGAAGTAGTTAAAGTTGGACACAATCACAGGCACGGGTAAGGCGATGGTCAGGACTCCGGCGATGGCGCACAAAGAACCCACAATCTTCCCCCCGATCGTCACCGGGTGCATGTCTCCGTACCCCACTGTGGTCATAGTCACCACGGCCCACCAGAACGCGTCCGGGATGCTGGTGAAGCTGGATGTGGGGTCATCTGCTTCGGCAAAGTAAACAGCGCTAGAAAATAAAATTACTCCAATAAATAGAAAGAATATGAGCAAGCCCAGTTCCCTCATGCTCGCTTTGAGAGTCTGCCCCAAAATCTGCAGGCCTTTAGAGTGTCGTGAGAGCTTAAAGATACGAAACACTCTAACCAGCCTGATCACTCTGAGGATGGCCAGAGACATCGCCTGTTGCCCTCCGTTTGTCTGCGTCTCAGCCAGCTCCGTCCCAAGTGTGATAAAGTATGGGAAAATGGCTACGATGTCTATGATATTCATAATGTTTTTGGAGAAGGTCGTCTTACTAGGACATGCGAAAAACCTGACCAGTAGTTCAAAAGAGAACCAGATGATGCACAGCGTCTCGATCACAAAGAAAGGGTCTGTAAACGGATTCGGACGCGAAGTGGACGTGCCATTGATAACTGGGGCCACTGTGGACTGGTCCCTGTCGTCTCTGAACTCAGGCAGAGTTTCCATACAAAATATAACAATAGAAATCAGGATGACGAGCACCGACACGATGGCTATACCCCTGGCTGGCCCTGAGCTCTCAGGATACTCAAACAGGAGCCAAACCTGCTTTTGGAAATCATTTTTGGGGAGAATTCGCTCTTCTTCTTTTATGAAGCCCTCGTCCTCCCTGAATTTCTCCATGGCCTCCTCTCCAAGTTGGTAAAATCTGATTTCCTCAGAGAAGACATCAATGGGCACGTTGACGGGTCTGCGGATGCGCCCTCCAGACTGGTAGTAGTACAGTATGGCATCAAAGCTGGGTCTGTTTCTATCAAAAAAGTACTCATTCCGTAACGGGTCAAAGTATCGCATCCTCTTCCTCGGGTCTCCCAACAGTGTGTCTGGGAACTGGTTGAAAGTTTTGAGTTGCGTCTCAAACCGTAATCCCGAGATATTGATCACAACTCTCTCGCAGCATCCCTGACGCCCGCGCTCGTACCGCTCCACGGGTAGGTCCTCCAGCATGTTGTCCGCCGTCATGACGCCCCGCGTCGCCTCATCACCCCAGCCCTGCGTCGTGCTGTTCTCCCTGAGTCTGCTGAACGAGGGTGAGTGTGGGTCCATACAGGTGTTAGCAGAGGAAGCCCAGCCAAAGCCTGACAGCTTTGGAGAGCCGCGCGGCTGCGCTCACATCTCCACCATCACGTATTTGAGACGCACGCGTCGAAGCGCCGCTCTCCTCAACCTTCAGTTTGAACAAACACGCGCATACCCGCCCACCACTCATATGGTTGACATACGTCCAGCAGCAGCAGCCAATAGGAACCAAGCCTGCTTCATAATAAACACCTGTTTGAGTCTTACACAACAAGTTCAACAGAGAATTTCACCAACAAATGTATCAAACTTATGACCTCAGATCAATAGTAAATGCGCTGAAAGAATAAACATGGTTTAGGTTTTGAACAACATCAGTGGAGGGTAAGGACTCCACACTAAGTTTATTGGGGGTGGTGCTGCTCTCCATGGTGCTGAAAACAAGCCTCCCAGGCAGCATTATGTGTGGATCAACACTCTCTCTCTTTGTCTCTCTCTCTTTTATGAATGGGTTTATACAGTAAACAAGAACGTTTCTCTTCATTGGGGTCTCCATATCTAGGTAGGCGTAGTAATTGGCTTGAATGAGCAAAATGCTCACATTTCATGTGGTACTTATCTTGGTGTCAGCAGGGGTACGTCATGAACAATGAACACAGGGGCATACTACAGCTATTGGGAATGAACATAGATGGGATCCTGAGGCCAATTGTCACCAACAAGCATATTTGGGATGATCAGGGTTTTATATGTTCCAGTTCCTGCATCTTACAATATCATTCAGACACTGAAGAGAATTGAACCAACCAGGGCCCACAATCAACAAAAATCAACTCAATGTGAAGAAGAAGTACGGCTCTGTCCGAAAAAATGTTAAGCGCTTTGTGATCCTGGTCTCTGAGAGGTGCTATTTTACCTTTCTTTACTTACTTACCCACTTACTAAATTTGTGAATTCTTTGGAATACATTTTTTTTGATTGTGGATAAATATGTATATGTTTTCTAATTAACCCTCACTAATTGTGACTAGTCAATGTTTTGGTAGTGATAGCCCTAATTGCTGTAAGGAAGGTGATGAGAATGTGTTATGTGACAGAGCATAGTAGATGGGGTCCCACAGGCATGGTGATTGCATCATTGATTTGTTTCCATTGGATTTCTCAATCCTCTGAAAACGAGACGATCTCAGTATGTTGTGTCAGATTTGAATTTCATCATTGACAAGGCACTTAATCAAATTCAATTCCATATTGTATTGAAACCGTTCTGATAAAATGCTCCAGTGGTCGACTCTGTTCTCAGGGAAGTTATGTCTGGGGTTGGTTTTTACACACACATGAAGGTGACTTAAATATAATTTCCGGTTCCACCAAGAAATTGGATTTCACAGTGAGAGCAGAGGACAGAATCTTACATATGGGATTAAATCTACAGTTTTTGTATAGGCCACTTAGCCACTTAGCGATGGCGTGAAAACAGGGCAGATTTAAACAGCTTAAACCGTGGGCAGAAGAGCAGATTTATTTTACCCTGGTTATCACAGCTCTGGGCCATTTCCCTCAGATCCCACCCTCTTTGCATTATCCTTTAGCCACATTTCTACAAAAAAAAAAAAACAAAAAAAACTGGCATGGAATAAATTGCGTTTAAATTCACCCAGGCCATGAAAGCAGCCTGTAAACACAGACTGATTGAGTGCATTGGGCCTGCCTCCCATACTCAGCTTGTGAGAAAATACCGATTTGATTTTCTCTCTGAGATGAACATTGGCTAAAATGGAGGCCAGGGATAAGAGTAATTGATGACTGAGGCTGCTGATAGACTCTTCTATATGCAGGGGAAAATGCTCTGCTGATTACATTGTTTAGTGTAGACACATGGTTCAGTCGCCTTCCAGGTTATGAGAACTGTCAAGTTTGCTGCCAAAAACATATCCTAAATTATATAGATAGATATATGATAGATAGACACTTTATTGATCCCCTGTAGGAGAAATTCAGGAGTCCAGCAGCAGAAACACATCCATCCATACAAACAAATAAGTAGTAAGTAATCTTTATTTACTGTATATATTTTCACTTAAAGCGCTTTACAAAGGTTGTTTTTTTGGGGCATTTGTCTCTCACTCCACACAGAGATGGTAATGAGGTCGTCATAGTTTATTTGTCATGGTTTTAGAGGTCCGTAGCACCCTGTGGAAACCTACATAGACGCGGGAGAACATGCAAACTCCACACAGAAAGGCCTGGAAGAGTTGAACCCAGGTCCTTCTTGCTAAGAGGCACAAGCACTAACTACTGCGCCACCATTCCGCTAAAAATATTCTAATTACGAAAGTTACTAACAATAATAAAGTTACTAATAATAAAGTGCAACGGTAGATTTTAGTCACAGCAGCAGAGGTGGTGTAGCGGCTGGTCAGAAGCTGCTTCCTCTGGTTGGTGTCTGCTTGGTTCGGACCGTTTTTCTGCTCTGGTTCAGAGTGAAATTTGGAATGCTTTATCAGCATTTTTCACTGAATTCTATCTGTCGCGTGGTGAGATGAAGGAGGACCTAAAAAGCTAAATTATGATTTGATGATTGAATAAAAGTCCAAGGAAAAAACAAGGCTCAAAAAATACAAAAGAAACAGGAACTGGACAAACTTGGACAGACATTGACAATGGACCAGCAACAAGGGGAGAGAAGCGCAAGTACATACAGTATACACAAAGACAGAAAAATGCAAAATACACACCATGGCACTAACTTTTTCAGCTTGATCGTAAAGCACAAAGCAACAACAGTTTCAGAGCTACTTAGCTGTTGTTTCCAGCGCATTCTAAAGTAAACAGTAATGTATTATGATGAAAGTATTGGTTATATAATTCAAAACTATAGGATTTCTCTGGATAAAGCACCATTTCACATAAGATGGTTATTCATGTTCGTAAATCTCAAGACACAGAGACAATGACAGATTATCAGCGTGGGAAAAATTAGCTTCAAGCCCGGCAGAAGCTGGGATTTTACAAATGACAAAGCACATCTGGAAGAGACTTTAATGTAATACTCGCTCCCTAAAGACCTAGAGAGCATTTGTCATCTGATGGTGATGCAGACAGCAGAGGGAAAGAGAGCTGGCTTTGGTCTGAGAAAAGACAAAGCTCACTGTTTGAATAATGAGGATCTCAGGTTTTTCTGTCTGATGGGTCTGGCTCAGGCTCGCAGCCGATCGATCCAGTCAGAGAGAGAGAAAGCGAGCGGGTGATATTGATCATAGTCATGTATTGGCTGGAGAGAAAACCACAATCATTACACATCCACAGTTCACTGTCAGTTACCACACATGGAAAGGTCATGGTCAACACCTTACTTTTATACATTATCAACACAGACAGGAGTTAAATAAGCATTTAACAGTTAATACTTGGGCTGGATCAGAGAATGACAGCTAAAAGTTATTTAATTGTTGAAAGATGGAACCAAAAACTCTAATCACTGAACACTTGACCTAAAAGAGAAGTTGCTAAACAAATACTGTTTTACATGTCAGTTCATCTTGATTGGCTAAACTGATAATACACATGGGACAATATTTCACTACATACACAGTGGGAGATTACCCATCTGCAAGTTAGTCCCAAAAGGAAATCATGTCTTCTTCTTCTCTTTTCATATAGCGCATTTTACAGACCAAGGTCACCCAAAGCGCATTACAATGTTCAGTAATAAAATATTTTTCGATTCACACGTGGCGGCGACGGAAGCGAGACGCTGAACACACTGACGAATCACGCCCCCGACAAAGACCAACCATTCAATCACTCATTACATTCATACCTATTGCACATGTTTTTAGTGCTATCCACCAATGCGTAAGAGTTTCCTGTGGCTCTTGACCAGGTGTGCACTGTACCACTGTAGCTGGTATTTTGACTCATTCTTCCATGCAGATCTTCTCTAAATCTGTGATGTTTTGACGCTGATTCCCCAAATCTCACAAAACACATTTATGTTCTGTTCTTGATACAGATCAGTCTTCCTCACCCCTTTACAGAAAACCAGCCCCTAACCATATTGTTTCCCCCCATGCCTTGCCTTGCCTTGTGCAAACCGAGTGTGTCGAGGAGGGAGTATCGTCTCATCATGTTTGGAAGCATAATGCTGCAGCCATAATTACAACTAGATTAAACTGGACAAATAAAATTAGATGTGACATTTACAAGATATACAGTAACTCATAATTATTCCTGCGCCGCACCGCGCCTAATATGAGGAATATATTCAAAAAATAAATGACTCCAAAGGCCTTTACCCCCGACAGGCATCAAACGCGAGGATCCCTTCAACTCCCAGCGGTATATTTATAAACTGTAACTGTGTGTCAATTTTCATGGTTTAGTGTTATATAATCCATCACACAGATGCGTAAACCCATGATAAATACATACCCCTAAATGTGTGTGTTAATGTATCCATCTACTTTTGTTTGGCTCAAAATAAAGTATTCAATCAATTTTACTGTTTTACAACCTTCTCAGGGACTGCGGGTGTAAATTAGCATTGTTGCTACAACCTGCTACAATGCATCTCTTCGCTAATGTATATTGTACACTGTCCCTGTAAAAATAAAAACCATACCATATTGGCCTTCCCAACCATGATTCCAGTGCCAGTCGGAACAATACAGCAGCACATATGAGATGTAAAATTGCTATTCCAAACAGCATCTCCAGTGATATGTGAAGGTCGTGTCCAAGGAGGAGGACGCTGGGAGACGTTTGCAGCCTGTTGGATTAGAGAGCCCCAGAGGAGAGGACAGTGTGGTCGCTCCATGACAAGCTGTCGCTGTAATAGATCTGTCCGGTTACAGGGAAAGACCATCCGACCTCTGCTTTATACCTGACCAGGGACAGTCTTTTGCGATGAATGTTCAGACCTGAATACAAATGAAGTCGTTGATTGCAAACTAAGGCAGTGGAAAAGATTTACACCAAAAACAAATCATGTTTCCATCCTACATATCATTCCATTTTATGTGGCC